GACATCCTTCATGAGCTGGATAAACCTTTGACTTATATAACTTATAGATATCTTTGACTTAGGTTTGAGGATCCAAGAATCACCCCACCTTGACAACCTCCGAAAACTTGTTGGCGTTTCTTACTGATAGTACAATAAATCCCCTTGCCTGAAAAATGCGAAATCCTGCAACATTTGCGCCAAGAACAACATCAGCAGCAAAAAACCTACAACTTCATCATACTTGCTGGCCTTCTGGTATTGGCAGCATGAAGCGAATAAAGAGACCGACGCCGACTGTTATCGCTGTTGGAACCTGGCTAATCAAACCCTGAGATTCTCTGCAAAATGCTGAAACCGCTTAGGTGGAAACTTGTTGAACGGACGCCCTAGCAAGGTTCTCTTTTGCTGGGTGAAGATTTTCGAGTTTCTGCTCTTCTCTTGGGGATGAATCTGGATCGATGAAGCTCAAATACATTGCCGGTGTTGCGGGCTTGCAGCCTTTCCATCTACCTGCAAGGCTGGGTTGGAAGCTCTTTGGTAACTAGCAGCTCGCAAAGAAATTCGAGATGAGGCTGGACTCATATCATCTCATATCTTCATACTATCTAACTATCTCTTTATCATATTCATATTGTTAGAATTTGTTAGATTCGTGCAGTTGCTTGAAGTCCAAATTTGGCTGAACAGCTTCTAGCTGCATCAGAAAGTTCGAGTTTATAGTACCTATCTAGTCTTTGGGCTGATCGAACAAGTCGCATTGTGAAAGGTGGGAAAACTAGTTCAAGATTTGAATGAGCTGATTAAAGACCTCTTCTTCTTTAAGACTCAGGCTATGCGAACTTTGGGCAAGACGTTGAGCTTTCATGGGGTAATGATCAAATCACATGCCCCTGTGTTGCGATACATGCAACGCATATCATAAATCTGGATATGTCTTCTTGCATCTTTCTTACAGTCTATCAACGAGGCAGCAACTCTTCTATTTGCAGGCTGATGAGTTACTGATGGTGCCAGGGTGTGAACTCATTTATTGTATTTCCCAGTGCCCAATTGCATCAATTGCCTGATTGAGCTCGAACTTCACCTGGCGCTGTTTCTTATCAAAAAGCGATGGGAATATACTGAAACACGTGCCCAGGACCAAGTGAACACTCGGAAAGTGAAACCATGGGAAATAATTCTTCAGCACCCCTAAAGTGCGAGATTCTTCACGTCGACATGCTTTGAATTTGAAAGTGTTGAATCAACTCTGATCATCTGATGTGTGTCTTTGTTTCCGCCACATAGCTGGTGGTATGCACAGGTTTATGCAGCACAAACCCATTACAGGCCTGACTTGACAGCGACTTTGTGCAGCCACACAGGTGCTGTGGCCTTTTCTTTGGCCTTCTGCAGAACTGGAAGACATCCGACCTCACCACATCTTAGTACATTTGACCACAATGCAAGCGCAACGCTGGGGCAACGTGGTCACAGCGTGTAGTCGTGTCATGTCCATGTCATGCTGATGGCGACAGCCATTTGATGTATTTTCACAACACTGGTGACAGGACCCAAATGAAACCCTCAAGTAAAGACAACGTAGGACAGCTCCAAGCATTCCAAGCTTTTGGCTGTGAGCCAGACTCTTGGCACAAATCCTGGAGCCAGCAGGAAAACTGATTGAGAAATCAATGGTGTCTGGAATGCCCACAGACGGGAACCTCCTCACGCTAGATCACACTATATCACGATCACTATCTATCACTATATCATCACAATCATCACAGGTCATGTGCATCAGAAATGACGGACATCTCAGGACTTGCCTTGCCCACCTGCTGACTGGTGCAACTGGCGCACTCTCCAAACATCCTGTGGCATCGAGTTGGCAAACACGAAGGCCACGACGGCCCAAAGCCCACACACTTTCTTTGCTGCACCGTCCAACAGAATCAAATCCGTTGTGCAAGAAATAGCTTTTCTAGGGAGGAAACATGAGGCAACACATTGAACAACCCTCCAGAATTGCTTCCCATTTCACGAAACCAAGCACTTTCTTAATTTGTTTGAATACTGTAATTTCTCTCTTGAAAGGGAGAAGACAACATGTTGTTAAAACATCTTCAACCACTGACGAGGTAGTTGGGTTTGTCATGTTTGCCCGATGGCAAGCATCTGATTGTGATATTGATATCCCCTGTGCTTCACCTTTTCTGACGCAGTTATGTGGAAACCTTCACTGCGAACCGAGCAAACATTCACATCCTCTGAGTCTTCCAGCAGCATCTAGAGGACACAGGTTCAACAAGTCTCTTAGCGTGGCTGTTTCCAGTCAAAAAACAAAACTTTGTAATTTGTAAGACTCTTCAATGTACATTGAATGTACATTGTACTGCAGTATATTGATATATTGCAAAATCGCCTGCTGCAAATGCGAGCGGGACACCTGCCAGGCTGGAACCTGGAAAAAGGCACGGAAAGGCTGGGGAATGGCTGGGGGATCTTGAACCAAGGGGAATCTTGAATCAATTGACATTTTTTCCAAATAGGTAGGACACAGAAAGTATTCAAAGCCTTCATCCGATAGGACTACACTGAGCCACCATGATCCGGTTGAAAACATCAAGCCTTATTCGATTTCTAGAACAACAGGCCACGAGATTCACTTAGCCGTGGATATACTGGCTGCAAAGCATTCAAAAGCGAACTATTGTGTCGGTTCTGCCCGGTTGTGAATGGACGATGCCACCATGTACACATTCATGACTGGCTTGGGCCCTGGTGCAACCCTTGCCTGAGCTACGCTTGCCATGCTTGCGCTGCAGCAGGCATACACTGCATCCAAGTCTCAAAAAAATACGAGCCACATTTATTGATTGGACGTCTTCGCCGACTCACAAGATGTAGCTGATGCAGTGCTTTCTGAATGCTGCATGAATGTGGCAGCGCTCGCATTACCATTGATTCTGCAAAACATACACCTAGAACTGATGCTCGAACTGATGCTCCATAGGTCATGGCCTTTATGGCCGTCCATGGCACAACGGCATCAAGCACATGGAATAAGGTATGAATAAGGTCCTTGATCCTGAAACAAATTCATCCTGGGATATAACGAAAATCTGAAGCAACCTCTAAGAGTGAGTCTGATGGTTCCCAGGTGGCATATCTCCAACATCTCCCAACGATCCAAATCGACTCATTTCTCCCGCAGGAAAGCAATCCCAGACCTCAAGTCCTTCAGAGATGCCTATAAAGTCTGAGCGTGAGACATCTGTGTACATGCTATTGTTATAACATGTTATAACCTTCGATCATGTCTAAAACCTCCAAGCTTTTCTCGGAGGTCGTCCGAAGCGTTACCTTTCTTTGACATCACCACGACATGCACTTGATGCGAACCTACCGCATGGCAGGGCTGCAGCTGAGCACAGGATGCTCCCAGCATCTCCCAGCCCGGTTCTGAAAAACATTGCAAAAACGTCTGTAAAATTCTGTAACTCAGTAAACGGTAAAAAACAGCTCGAATTGGCCCAGCTCCGCGATGGATTGCTGATGGTATTCTGTTCATCTTTTTCAACGTACTGGTGGTCTGCATTGACATGGCTCCAGTTGATGTGGCTCCCCACCTCAAAGGGTTTCCACGAGTTCGTGGGCCTGCGGGAAAGGAGTGGAAACTTACCTCGAAAAAATGGACAGCTCCTGTTCTTATGCCAGAACTTTCATGTCGAATTTGGCTTGTGGATGACAATCCCAAACTCCAGCGGATTCAACCAGATTACACAAACCACCGTGTGAATTTTGTCAAATGTTTGTTGGAATGTTCCCACATCTTCCTGTATGCTTGTTCTCAAATATTTCAGCGGGGAACCGTAAAAACGCAGTCCAAACCAAAAAACAAATCTCATATTAATGTAGCAATATAAGATCACCATTTTATATAAGATCCACCGGTAAATGATTCCCCGGACGCCAGCTGTTACAATACACTCAAATAACCATCCCCGCAACATATTGTTATGGAATGTCATGGACATTTTTCCATCGGTTTTTCCAGCAGTCACATTTACAGGCAAGAACCCCCCCCAGAAAATCTACAGTCTTGGATCCAAACGTACCCAGCTCATGACGGATGTGGGTGTGTCTGAAAATGCGGTTTTATGGTTTCCCACTCGTCACAAAATGTGCGCGATGAATTTTGTGGGCCACGACAGATCGGATTTTCTGTGCTGTCAGCCAACAATTCAAGAATATTCAAGGAAGTGGCCCCATGTGGCCCCATGTGGCCCCATCCTCTCAAATAAACTCTTGCTGATGGAGCTGAACATATGTGTTTGTCTCTCTTTGCAGGGCCACAGGTATCTTCAGCAAGAAACATTGTTTGACAAATTTGGGGCACATTGACCCGCAATTGTTCAATTTCTTTTTTCTTTGGACGAATGTGTATGTTGTGGCTTATTTGAAAGCTGAGGATGGGCCTGGTGATGCGGTTTCATCCTGAACCTTTACTTTTAAGTTTAAGACCAGCCGCAAATATGTAGCCCAAAGTGTCGTGCCCCCTGGATTTTTTTTACACCTGCGAACCTCGACTTCTTCAAGTCAATTTTTTTGTTGGTGGAGTTGAACATATGGGTTTGCCTCCTTTTGGAGAGATATCAAAAATCCTTGGCGGAGAGATCAAATCCTCCGCTCGTAGATGAGTTAAAATTCTAGTTCTACAGTGTTATAAGATGTTATAAGCATTACATCGTGGCAAAGTTTTAGGTGTACAAATTTTTGCAATTTCTGCACTGAGCCCACGGAAAAACAACTTGACAGTATGGCAGGGAATATTATTGTCCCAATTAGAATTGCCGCTCGGGGGATTATCTCATTTTCAGACACGCTCAAGTCTGACCAAATATAAAAAACCACCACCCTCAGACGATCATGGGACAGCTTTCCTAACTTTCACAATACATACATCTTTGCCGCCCTGTTGAAATTATTTTCTTGTTCTGTGGCATTCATATGGAAAAGAAAAAAAGGATCAAAACCTCTTTGGGACCTATATAAATCGGCGACCCTAACACTTTTATTAAAGTTCGGTACTGGACACCCAGAAAAAAATGGCTGGTATATTTGGTAAACTTGTTACAGTAATTAGCTTACCAATTCAGTTCATCTGGATGGATCACCAGCGTGAAATCGTGGCCGTGGGCAAAAAACAATTTACATTATGTATACATATGCGGGTTCTATCCGAAAATGACATGTTTACCAAAAATTTGATGGTCCATCATTATATTCCCATTTTTGTACAGGCCAAGAACTGAAGTATATCTCCTACGTGGATAAACACGTATTATCTGCCGACCCCGGCCGGCAGCAAGGGGGAGCGCGCCAGGGATGATTGGCAAAACACTGTATTCCCATCATGGCTGCTTAAGTTAACCTCATTTTTCAGACCTTGTGGTGCATCCGTGCATTTTGTTGCTTGAATGGTACACGAACACAAAAATATGGCTGGTCATGTTACGTTGCCCCAAAATCATTGATTGCCACTGTATATCTCATTATGATGTATTAACTAAAGTATTCCACGATGCCCATTGCATCATTATAAATTATATCCTAATTTCGTGCGCCCAGCCACTATCTGGAACCATCTGGGATTCCTCAGCCTTTCTTGTTCAAACATGTCTTCAAGAATTGGGACGCATCAGATCCTTTAAAACTTAAAAGATCCTTTTCATTTCGTTTTTTTCCGGGAGCCCTTGGGTTGGGGTTGACAAAACCGGCCCGAAACCGCAGCTTTGGGTGGCACTGTGGCACCTTCTCCGTGAGCCTCTTGGCCTCTTCCTTGTCCCGCAACTTGCCTGACAGCCGGCTGACAGCCACCATGCGTCGTCTCACCGCGTCAAATGCGGCCGTTAGCAGCGAATGTGATGAGAAGTTGGGGTTGAAGATGAAGAGAGGGATGACACGTTCATTTTTTTTTGCATAAGAAATTCAACGCGTTTTTTTGTCTTTCGGGATTGAACAACTTGTAAAGAGGCAACATCAGAAGGAATAAGATCACGGCTCCTCATGAAATTTCAGGTAAAAACATGTATCGAGTACCAGCAAAAACAAGTACAACGCAGGAAAACCAGGACAGGGACCAGAAATCTTTGACACATGTTGTTTGTCCACCCTGAATGGTGTTGGGAAATCTTGCGGCTTTCGACGCATGGTTTGCTTTGACCGTGTAGCTTCGTATGAATAGCTCGGGGGCGGACTGTCCAACTCTGCCCGGACGAAAGGCAGCTCTTCTTGAAGCTTTGCCTCAGCGAAAACACTTTCAAGGTGCTGTCAAAATGCTTTTGGAAATGCTTTCAATGACAACACCTTGATTTCACATTGTTTCACTAAACTTTATCTATCACCTTGCTGTGTGAGCTTCCACATGGCCTTGATCATGCCGTGTGCTTGCAAAATCTTGCAAAGCTAGAATACCATTGTGGATTCTGTGAACTGCTGAGCTCACTTGGCCCCCGCGCGTTTTGTTGCGAGACATCCTGTGGCCGCTGCCCGGTGTCAACGACTGTACTCAAATGCAGCTTCCAATATCACACTCTGCTTTCTCAGCTACCCGAAGGCTGGTTGCAGGTCCTGAATTTGTTGTTCCAAATCTGCCAACTCTTTCTGCACCTGCGAATACATCCGTGTGCTCACAGGCAACAATCCGGAAACAGCAAACTTATGCGGGCAAACTCCAAAACATGACAAAACCTCAGCTGGTGAGTTTTGACTCCGCTTGACTGCGCTGGGACGACCTTTCTCACATTAGCATTCATTTGGCGATATAGGCGATTAGTGCCTGTACTACATAGATCTACGTAGGCTTCTCTACAACCTGGCTGCCTGGCTGGAGCGTCTCGACCTTTTTTGTATGCGATGCTGACATGCCCTGTGCCTGATTGGCCAGTTGCTCCCGCTCCAATTGAGCCTCGGGAATGAAACCCATGGCATCCGTTCTAGCAGCACTGAGCAATGTCCAAACTATGCACATTGTGCACATGTAGCTCATACACTTTGGTCAGGTTGATTGAGTTGGCTCCGATAGGTTTTCAGTCTCGGGTGTTGAATGGTCACTTCGCATGAAGAGCTTTGGGCCTTGCCGCAACCCATACAAGAGATTACAACGGCACAGGCAACAGTTTCCAAGGTCGCAGCAGCCAGAATTTCATCTCTCTCTTTTGTCAACTGGGCAGGAACGCCACATCCGCAAACACCACACTCTTCAAAGACCCGACTGGGAAAGTTCATGAAAGTTCAAGGTAATGTTTGCACTGTCTCACATGGAATGGGCGACAAGCCTTCTGCTGTGTATTCTATACATCCAAACCAGATTGGAAAGACAGTTCTCCATCATACAAGCAAACAATAACGACCTTTCGGCACCGCTACTCAAACACTTTCTTTTTTGACAGGCACGCTGCTTTGAAACATTTCTGCAGATTCCAGTTCATCCAGATGCTGTATCTTCATTTTCTCGATGTTTTCTCTTTTTGTCCTTCTTGTCTTTTTTCTCCTCCAAAAATGCAGCTTGGCACCTAAAGAAAAAAGCAAACCTGTTTGCACTAGAGTGCCTGGCTGGATGCAGCGCCCAAAAAAAAGACATACCGGGAGAACATTATTTTGCAGCAGCATTATGCTGCTGTCACCCTATCGGAATGAATGCGACGTAGCAACATGTAGCAACCAACAAAACACACTCAGACCCTCATTCTCAGGTGTCCTTGTCTTTTTTGTCCTTTTTGTCCTTCTTGTCCTTTTTCTTCTTTTTGTCCTTCTTTTCTCTCTCTCGAGGCACTACGACTTCCTCATCATCATGTGGAATTTCATCGTCAAAGATGCCAGAGATAGTATTGGCAGCATCACCGCCAATGTCCTGACAGCGCGAAGCGTCTGGACTGTTGGGATTGAGGCACATGATCGCCAAATGGTCAGAACGTCCAGGTACAAGTTGTATATTTTACATAATTTCTGTATATACACCCGAAGTAGCTGCTTCAAAGACCCCCCACAATCAAATGGAACCAATATCCAGAGATCTTTAGTGTATGATTCCGTATGATAGTGTCACCAAAGAGCACCGCCTGGAGATTCTGCAGGATGTCTATATATTTTTAGTTCCATCAGTTCCATCTTGCCAAGCTATACAGTTTTCATATTCAGGATCCCTTCAAGATCCCGACAAAAAACCATAAATGGTTAACACATGTTGAAACATGTGAAAAATTGTGAAAACATGGAAGCATCGGGAGGTGGGGTCAGGATGCGTCCTCTCCACCTTCCACGACCTGCATTGGCTGCTCTGCCTCTTGGGGAGTTTCTTGCTTCTCCTACCCACGGGGCCCGCATCTAGGATGATCTCGAACCAGAGATGTAAGCAGCATATTGTAAGACCTAGAATCGTCCATCGCAAAAGTTCTGAAGGCTGAAAACTGCAAACAAGAATTGTGAGCCGTGATGCTTTCATGGTTCTCTGTACCAATCTTGCAAGAGGACAATGCAATCGGGTCATCTAAAAGTATCTAAAGCACTCTAGCCAGTACTGTAAACAATGGAACTACAATGAAACACATTCATAATTCATATGAATACGGTCTTGAACCCTTCATATTTGATGTTTCCATAGCAGAACATTGCCGGACTGTGATCGCCCAGCAACAAGTCCAGGCATTTAAAGACATAGCCGACACACCCAGACATAACCCATGAATCAATGCATCTTTGGTCTCCCAGTAAATGATGTTAACTCTGCAAATCTACTGCCATGGTCCTCGGTTTTCTTCTTCTTGTTGCTGGACTTGGCGGCAGCCTTGTCTTTTACTGCCTCCAAGTTGCGGCCCAGCCTGATGTGTCTCCCGCTTTCCTCAGCAACGCCCGGCAATGTCAGTGGTCAATGAGCCTGCGAAAATCTTCAGAGCAGTGTAAGAGTGACGCCATCGCCAGCTTGGAAGTTCAGCCAAGAGACCATCAATCGTAATGCTTGATCTTCAGCTTCCAAATGTTTTTCTCTTCGAAACGCTTCGGAGTTCTTGCCAGTTTTGAACAAAATCAGGGTGCACGAGAATGCGAGGGTCAATATGCGTGCCGAAACAAGTGACAGTTGTGAGTACCTTGGTATATTGCTCAACCATGCTCAACATCTATGTCATATGCTTTAATGTGCAAGTGAAACCTGTCAAAGGAAAGCAACACCAAAACAAAATGTCATTGGAATGGCATGAGAATGGCATCACATCTTTGTCAATGGATGATTGCAACAGTCCTTGGCTCTGTTCTCGGCTTCTCTTTCTCCCTGAAATGGGTGTTGGGTACAGCGGGGGAGTTTGAGTCACCACTTCACAGGGATACTACAAAAAGGAGCACTACCAAAACATAAAACAAACTTAGCATATCTTAGCATGCGGTTTTTTATTTTTATGCCCTGTCTTAATTATTCTGCACTGCGCAAATGTCCGAAGTCACCTGTAAGAAAATAGGTCAAAACAGGTCAAGAACCTAAGAAAATATGTCTCTGCTCTATGGCTCTGCCATGTTGTGCCTCCTTCTTCTCAAGATTCAGCCTTTCTAACTGGAGATCGTTGTGATGGATTTGCCGCGCCAACTCTTGAACTCTAACGTTGACCGTTTCAATTAGCTGCTGCAGGTTCCTCGTCGAAGGGCAGAACAGGAAATACGGGAAAAACTTGAAGCAGCTAAGCCAACTGAAAACTACCTGCTTCTGGGTCTGTGTTAGCTTCTCCCAACTTTCGAATAGTTCGGGTCCAACATGTTGGAACATGTTGCTTTGTCAGGCGGCTTGTCAAATTGTCATCTTAGTGTGCCGTTTCGGTCCAAGTGGCGCGATGTGTTCCTTGATGTTCGACATAAATGTCTTCAGCCCTTCGGGATGACCACTCCGCCGAGACAAGAGCCCACATTCGATGTGTGTCATCTCTGACCAATAGTTAGAGATGAAATTCCAAGCAGCAACTGCGGATGTCAAGCAATCCTTAGGTCATCCCAAATCATTGCCCCAACGTGTTAACAAGAACAAGGCAAGAGAACCATGCAGAATCCATAAATTTATCATATTTTATCGGTAAACATGGGAACACAGGCCCAGGCAAATTGTCCAAGTATCTCTGGCATCTTCGACCTTTTCCAGGCAGCCGGGCTTTTGAATGGCACGGAATCCCCGGTAGACGCGCAAAGTGTGCTTCGCCCAGTCTTCCCAGTTTTTGGCCTTACAGCATCGATGTGGGACCAATGTGGGACGAGTGTCCCCTAAAACGAGATCCATGTTGCAAAACAGTCTGATTATACCGTCGTCGAAAAATATTGAAACTACAACGCAGGCAAGACAAATAATGGTTGTCGCACCTGAATCTTAGCCCGTCAGTGCTTTCATTGGATCAAATGTATTCAAATGCCCGCCTGATTGATCTTGACAAGCATGTCGAATGGCCAGTTGTGGGCTGCTTCACTCAGGACAGCAGCAGCTTCATCGTAGTCTTTTAAATTGTTCAAGGCTTTGGCAATGTGCAAGTTCACCTCGATTCAGCCAAGAAGTGGGTTTCTCCACTTGGAACAGCTACTGCTGTTGCTCTCAAATCTAGACCCCTCGATCTTGCTCATCTTTTCTTGTTGGGCGCGTCCGTCTGAAGTGAAGAAGACTTTCTGTCTGTGCCAGAAAATGCAAGATCTGCAAAGCTGTCTCTTTAACGATCCAAATGCACTTGGTACTTGAAACATCTTGACACCCTTGGTACTCTTTTAGTTAAACATCCAAGGACTTGCCAAATAACATCAAATAACTCTCCCAAGGCCAATCACAAATGCAACTTTGCGACTGAAACATCATCTGGATCCAATTCCTTTGCCTTTTGATACAAGGAGATGGCCTTCCTTGTGTTGGCGATCCGTTCTTCAGTTTCGGGTTCGCTTTCTGCGTCGTCGCCAAAGACCCGCTTTCTTCTCCGAACCCCGTGAGTCTGGATGTAAGTGTGGGCCAGGTTGATGTAGATCGACGGGTTGTCTTCCATGGCCTTGTGATCTCTCACGCATTGGAAAGCCTTTCGTGCCTCAGAGCAATGATCGTCAATGGTATTATCACGATTTCTCACCATATTTTTGTTGGGGTTCAAACTTACTTCTTTATGATTATGATCTTTATGATCTTGAATCTTTATGATTCTTTATGTTCAAAAGTTCCTGGTATGATGTCTAAGCCACGATCTCTGGTTTGCCACGTCGTGCAAAGACCATGCCCACGCCATTGGCCGCTGCAAAACAATCACTATCTATATCCAGGGCCTTGACATAGCGCTCCATCGCCATTCGAAGATACTCGTCCTCACCGTGTGGTGATGCTTTCCAGAGCAATGGGTAATGCAATGAATTTCGGTTTCTGCGGTGACATACTGAGAACAAAAATTCTATCTCCCTAAAACCCCAAACGAATAAGCAAACACAAACTAATCGCAGGACAAACAAACCGCAGCACTGGAGATTGCATCTGCGATCGCCGCCGCAAAATGTCAGCCTACTCTTTTCTTCAACACAGCAATACGATACTCGACAAACATGGGAGAACACACAGGGCGAAGGGGCTAGTGTTGATAGCCTTTTGTAATTCGATGGAATATGGAATGGAACCCGTACCATTGCAAAGCGCAACTCTCCTTCGCTGCAGAGGGGGTCTTGTGGGAAGTGGCAGCTTCGTAGTACAAATTCGCCAAAAAAACGTAGGCATAGTGCTCCTCCTTCTCACCTGCCAGGCTCCAGCACAATGCTTAATGTTAATTCTTCAATATGTTTTCATTAAATTAACACAATAAAACGCAACATATTGAAACATTACAAGACCAAAGGGATCCAAAGGGTTTGTTCAGAGGTGTTCCGAGTTTGCATGAGTTTGCCAGGGTCCCAGTGTCCCAGTCTGAACCTGCAGCTGCCAAAGCTCGCTCTCCCCACTTTAAGGCATTGGTGTATTGTCCTGCATAGTTTTGCATAAAGCCGCGCGCCCATGCTATTATCATGAAATCATTCATAATTTGAATACTGTAGAATATATTAGGCAACGTATTGGGCTGGGAAATCGTGGAAAACCCAGGTGCCACATATGCCGTGTAGTATCCGTATCACAAAATCATTCATAAATCAGTCATAATCATAGTACCATAACTGTAATCAGTCGTAAGGCAAAGTATTGGGAAACATGTCAAAACCCAGGGGACGCATGTGCCTTCTAGCAAGAATCACAGGGTCCTGCTTCTCGCAAAGCTTCGGCACTGTACAATCTGGCCTGCCGTTGCTCCCCATGGCTGTTGAGGCACCACATTTGGGACCATCACATGATTCATCCATGTGTGCAGATTGCACTTTCACACGCGCACAAAATTGCTCAGAACAATCTTTGCGAATTCTGATGTGGAATGCATCTTACGTGCAAAAACACTCCAATTGCACCTGGCAGGAAGGGGTCGGCGAAAAGACCCGAGAAAAATCGAAAGGTACCATCGCATACCATCGCCATGTCCGGTGCTAGATGAAATAAGTTGACAGATTGCGAAAACCGTGCAAATCGAGAAGTAGGAAAACCAGTTGTTTGGAAACGGCATGATGGTTCTTGGGTTAGCCACGTCCCATCTCAGCAAGTCGATGTAAAATGAAATGAAATTGAGGCAGGTACGTCATTCTGGCGTCCCAGAATGATTTCACGCTTCAACAGGCATCTTCGTTGGCCTGAGTCCTGTTGAGAAGCCTCAGGCCCCCTGCACCTAAACGAGTAGAAGTTTTACATCTATTCACATGGTTCACACACACGCCCTGCTGCCGCAGGGCTTTTTTGGAAGACGCAAATTGTCGATTGAAACAAAGCTCTGATACGGTCAACTGGTCTCGGATCAGACGATCAAAATGTCAGAGACAAGAATTAATTACAAGTGGTAGCGACACTCTACCTGGTCAGGGATGACGAGGACCTAGTCCGAGATGTCGGAGATATCGCCAAGTTCACCGGGTCGAGCATGATATCCGCCAAATTAGTTGCCGTAATGGCAAGATGATTCTGGGACAACTCCGATTGGAGTGGCTGAGTGGCTGAGTGGCTGAGTGGCTGAGTGATTGAGTGGGCGACTGAGTGACTGAGTGGCTGAGTGACTGAATGGCGAGTGACTGAGTGGCTGAGTGGCTGAATGGCTGAGTGACTGAGTAACTGAGTGGCTGAGTGGCTGAGTGTGAGTGGCTGAGCTGAGTGGCTGAGTGACTGAGTGGCTGAGTGACTGAGTGACTGAGTGTCTGAGTGGCTGAGTGGCTGGGTGGCTGAGTGGCTGGGTGACTGAGTGACTGGGTGGCTGAGTGACTGAGTGACTGAGTGGCTGAGTGGCTGAGTGGGTGAGTGAGTGAGTGACTGAGTGGCTGAGTGGCTGAGTGGCTGAGTGGCTGAGTAGCTGAGTGACTGAATGACTGAATTACTGAGTGGCTGAGTGGCTGAGTGAGTGAGTGACTGAGTAGCTGAGTGACTGAGTGACTGAGCGACTGAGTGGCTGAGTGGCTGGGGGTGAGTGACTGAGTGGCTGAGTGGCTGAGTGGCTGAGTAAATGAGTGGCTGAGTAAATGAGTGGCTGAGTAAATGAGTGGCTGAGTGGCTGAGTGGCTGAGTGGCTGAATGACTGAGTGGCTGAGTGGGTGAGTGAGTGAGTGACTGAGTGGCTGAGTGACGGAGTGGCTAATTGACTGAGTGGCTGAGTGGCTGAGTGACGGAGTGACTGAGTGGCTGAGTGGCTGAGTGGCTGAGTGGCTGAGTAGCTGAGTGACTGAATGACTGAGTGACTGAGCGACTGAGTGGCTGAGTGGCTGGGGGTGAGTGACTGAGTGGCTGAGTGGCTGAGTGGCTGAGTAAATGAGTGGCTGAGTAAATGAGTGGCTGAGTGACTGAGTGGCTGAGTGGCTGAGTGGGTGAATGACTGAGTGACTGAGTGACTGAGTGGCTGAGTGGCTGAGGAGGGTGAAGATCGGTGGTGAGATTGACGATCTGGAGTTTTCTGCACCACGGTCGCAAGGCTGGCTTCGAAGGTCGTCTTCATTTGTTGCAGCATCTCATCAGGATTAAATGGTACAGGAGGAGCCGGTGGACTTGGTGTGGCCACCTGCGGAATCGGTGGTTCAGGTGCAGTTGGCACCGGTGTTGCTGGTGGTGTTTGCACTGAAGGTGGAGTAGTTGTCGGTTGTTGTTGAGCTTGGTGATGAGGAAGAAGTTGTTGGAGGTGATTGATGTGAGTCTGAGATTGATTGTGGAGTTGTTGGTTCAACAGCGCATTCTGCTGTTGAAGTGCCGTAATTTGTGCCTGAACCTGAGCTTGGGACTGGGGGTATGATGGATCACTTCCAGGTGTTGCCGGTGGTGGTTGGACCGAAGGTGGAGTCGGTGTTGTTTGTTGGACTTGATGATGAGGAAGGAGTTGTTGGAGATGATTGATGTGAGTCTGGGACTGGTTGTGGAGTTGTTGGTTCAGCAGCGCGTTCTGCTGTTGAAATGCCGAGATCTGCGCCTGAGTCTGAGCTTGGGACTGCTGAAACGATGGATCACTTCCACAAAATTGTCCTAAAGGTACTGCTGGTTGATGAGGTGCAGGGGCTGGGGCGGACCAGCCGTAGTTCCACATCGACTCTGGGTAGTAAGGCCAGCGACCAGGAAACATGGCGAAAGGAGGTCAGGTTTAATGGATTTCAAAATCAAAAGTTCAAACAACGACACATCCACAAAACGTGCAAGGTCCCCTATACAGGCACCATGGCCTCCTGGTCGAGTCAACCCTATAAACGGCTGTCAATCGTCAAAATGAATTACGTGCACATTTGAGTCGTACCAAAAACCAAAAAGGAAGAATCACCATACCTGCAAGAATGGTCTGCGCCTGGAATCCTCATGGTGCAATTGTCGACGGCTTAAGTTGCTCGAGCAATATCGAAAAAAGAAGGTTGTCGCGGCTTCAGGCTACAAATGACAGTCAGGCAGTCCCACTGAAAAAGATTGAAGCCACACAGCGGCCAGTTGTTCAACACAGTGACTCGACATAGTGAAACCTGAAAGGTGAACGACTGTTTCACTTTACTTAAACGAATTACTAGGTTGAAAATTGTAAATTCAGAGATCAAGTCGTTGCTTCGCTCTCCTGCTTAGACAAGCATTCCCGTGACGAATCCAGCATGAATCACACACTTGCTCAGAACAATCTTTGCGAATTCTGATGTGGAATGCATCTTACGTGCAAAAACACTCCAATTGCACCTGACAGGAAGGGGTCGGTGAAAAGACCCGAGAAAAATCGAAAGGTACCATCGCCATGTCCAGTGCTAGATGAAATAAGTTGACAGATTGCGAAAACCGTGCAAATCGAGAAGTAGGAAAACCAGTTGTTTGGAAACGGCATGATGGTTCTTGGGTTAGCCACGTCCCATCTCAGCAAGTCGATGTAAAATGGAATGAAATTGAGGCAGGTACGTCATTCTGGCGTCCCAGAATGATTTCACGCTTCAACAGGCGTCTTCGTTGGCCTGAGTCCTGTTGAGAAGCCTCAGGCCCCCTGCACCTAAACGAGTAGAAGTTTTACATCTATTCACATGGTTCACACACACACAAACCCACACACACACACAGCACACACACACACACACTCACACACACACACCCACACACACACACACACACACCCACTCACGCACATCCAGTCTTCCATGGCTTGTTGCTTCTTGTTGGCCAGATATGATGGTCTGTTACCGGCTACACAAAACATGGTGTGGCAGTGTAGCAACCAGCTGGCCAGTCAGAAACATGAAACATCATGAAACACTGGGATGGGATCTTTTGAACATCGTTTGAACTGAACTGGTGACATCTAGCTCAACTGGGCCTCGAATGGAGCGTCGTTCATGGCCATGCGATAAGATTGCAAGGCTTGTTGCGTACGGCCCAGACTCTGCCACTGCTTCCCAACTCGCAGCGAGGCATCTGCAAACCAAGGATTGTCCTGGATGCGGTCAATACATTCATTCAGTCTTGCGGCGCATAAGAACTTGTCAACGAATATGACACGAATTCAACCAGCCCAATTCTTGGCATCTCATTCTCTTTGGGGGGAAATGGCCGCGGGATTTCAAGCGAGCTAATGATTCCGTAATGGCTGCAGAGGCTGTGGTTTCCACCGCTTTCCATCCCCGTTCTCCTCCTGCATAGTTATGTACTCTGACACGGCCTCTGCGATTTCAGGCCCGGAGGGATGGGACTCAGCCAGAAAAGCTCGGTTGAACTTCAAGCAAATCTGGGAAACCTCCAACTCCTCAAGCAAGTCATCTGCATCATTTTGCATCCCTGTCTGTGCATGGAAAAAGTTTCTGAAGCATAAGAAACTGCTCCATAGATATTGTTGAGAAGCAGAAAACCTGCAGCTTTTCGCTATACCAGTATTTGGGCAAGCTGGGTGGCGGAAGTTTCGAAAGGGGGGAAAACTATAAAGAAAAGGGAGGGCCTATAGGAACAGCGCCTGGCCGTTCTCTTGATCCGGTTTGCGCTTGACAACTCTGAATCTCGGCAGGCTGTTGCCCGCTGTTTGTCTGGACGTCTTTTTCTCCTTGACATGTTTTTCTCTCGGCTTCCTTTTCTGGTGATGCCACTTTCTCTCCATCCAGTGGGCGCGCGTGTCATCTTTGAATCTTGACAGCCCCTTCTGTTGGGGAGCCCTGGAGGCCGAGACCTGACACACTCTTCTCTTGACAAACTTCTTTACCTACTCTCTTCACTCCCCTTTTCTCTTCCCCTCCCTACCTTAGTATACTCGTGTGAGCAACGTCACGCAAGCGAACGAAACATTCTTTGTACAGTGCAAGCTGCAAGCCTGGATCACCAAACACACTGGCACAGCGCATCCAATCTTTCATGCGGACCACTCGAGCGAAAAGCGAAAGAAAGCCGCACCCGTCGCACAAACAAGGTCCCCCACATCGCGGCCGGGAAGCACTTGATGAAAGAAAGCATTGGGTTTCGTGCGATTCCTAACCTTCAAGCATCACCTGGACGAAGCGTGATGTGGTGGTGTGGTGATGTGGTGATGCGGTGATGTGGTGATGTAGTGGTGATGTGGCGACGTGGTGATGGTGCTGTTTGATTTTCTCCTCTGCCATATTTTCCGTATAACGGAGTTTAAACTTTTAAACTTCCTGTGATAAAAAATCCTATATGATGTTCACGGTTTCATGATGTTCTTTCAAGACTTTCAAGAGGCAAACCCACTTCAGCCTCCGAGTCCAACAATGGCTATCAGCAAGTTGTGCCAGTAGCTGTGTTGTATGTCCTTCTTTTCTTGCGGATCGGTGCTGTGCAGAATTTGCTGCTCAACGAACTCAAGCCCCTTCTCATAGGCTCTTTGCGCCATAGCAGGGTCACCTCAGCACAATGCCATCACTCTGGTCATTGCAAGCTTCGAGTACGAAACAAGGAGTTCATTGCTGTTGACAGCTCAGATTCAGTCACAAAATAAGTTGGTGCTCAATACCTCACTGCCTTTATTCCTGATCTGATTATCCTACAAATTTGTTCCCGATTAAGTCACACAAAGATGCACGATGCACTACCAAGACGGTGTACCAATCTGAGAATTGGGTGAAAGGCACACCTATGGGAAGTTCCTATATTTGATGATATCAGAATCATATCACAACGATATCGAGTTTCCCTTCAACCTGATGTAGATTACCAAGGGATACCAAGGGCGTAGGCACCGTAGATGCTGAAGATGGTGCCCATGTTATTCCACATCTCTGGCGTCGCCTCGCTTTGATTCTCCGGTGACTCCAGGAGCTGAGCCAGTCGCTCATAGGTGCTGACGGCGTCCTGCAAGGGTAACATGGAGATCAAATTTATTCGAATTTCAGAAAACATTCTGGAAATTGAAACCGGCTATATATATATATATATATGATATATATATATATATATATTCATGTGCAGTATTTGAATATATTTGATTCATAGCATCCAATGTCATCCGATTACTTTACGTTACTTTGACTGCTACTCCCCTGCTTTCGGCGTCTTCATGCATCTTCATCATCTCCATGCATCTTCCATTGTGTAGAGTCCACTCCTTTGTGAACATGTCCACGAGTAAAACAGAAGCCCGGCCCGGCATAGCCCGGCCAGTCCTTGGGCTTCACACGTGTGTAGGCCTCTGCTTTCATGCTCAACGCCTCAACATCTTCTGGCACCAGGGCCACCAAGCGGTCTGAAGCTTCACGTGCCTAGTGTCTGCAACAAGGTGCCGCCAGGTGCCCATGCCCCAAAACTTGAAACGTTCTGGGACAACGCGGCTTGCTACGACATGCTGGGACATGCATCGACACGCTACGACCTAATGATCTTGACTCATATTGAATTGAATCTATAATAATCTTTATACATTGAATTACACTGATATCTATTGCGCTCCAAGAAGCAGCTTTGAAGCTTTTTGAGACAAATGGGCACAGGTTTCGAGTCCCAGGTGCATCCTTTCCTAGTGCATGATTAACCCCGTGACGCAGGGGCTATGCCGCTGTGCCCTTTGCCTGGCCTTGTGGTTGTGCTCGTTGTCGTTGGTTGCAAGATAAGCAGTTATGAGAAGCTTCAACACCTGCAGGAAAAGCCAACAAGATCTAACAAGATCTAACAAGATCTAACAAGGCTATCTGTGCTCACAACGAAATTGATCTTGTGAAGTCACATTGATGTCAGAGCGTCCCAGATGTTCACATCAAGTCCCATGTGCAAATGTCGTTCTTGTATGTTCTTGTTCTTGGTCATGTTCATTCATGTTAGATCATGTCGTACACATGTTGTACACATGTTAATCAATGCTTGTCCAAAACTTGTTGTGCCTCTGGCTCTTGCCTCATGTGTTTGGGCGACTTTTCCAGCAATTTCATGGCGCGAGAGTAGAGTTTTCTGTGCACCAGGCACTGCGCCAAAGTGTACACGGCAATCTGGTGCTGCGGCATGAGATCCACTGACTGTTCGTATTCTCTCATCGCTTTTGCCACGTCTCCTGGGACAAAAATGCCATGGCTGCACGCAATTTGTGCTGGGAAACACATATTGAATTATTCAAGTCTCAGTCGTTGGCTACAAACTAGCCCATTTACATACATGTAGCATATACACGTGTACATACATGTCATGCATTTACGTACATTTCGGTTCATTTACGTACATTTAGATTCATTTACGTACGTATACGTTTCAAATCTTTTACAATCTATCTTTTACCTCTCATTGCAATACTATGTTATGTATATATATAGACAATACATACTTTTGCTGCTTGGTTCGCTGTATGGCTGTCCTTTCACATGCGCTAGCCGCCCTTGCTGGTAGTGCAACTCGGCACGAACCTGCTTGGAGCACACGCCTTCTGCTGCCTTGGCACCATGTGAGACTTTGCCCAGATTGGTACTCTACTTGGGTATCCCGCAACATCGGTAAGCTCCCTATCAATTTTATTGAATTCGCTTAACTTTTCCAATCATTGGCGGGACCACTACAAATGCCATTGGTTACGCAAGTCAGAACATAGCGGGAATGTAAATGGTTTACAGTAACAGCCACAATTATAGCACGGAATTAGGAGTACAAAAGTATGGTAAAATACGTACTAGTACCTTCGTACTCCTCCGGATCGCGGTTCCGTGCGGATTCGGATCCTGTTCTATAATTAATTTTTGGCTGTTCTATAATAAATTTGGACTCCTCAACTTCTATGTACGGGAATATTGCCACACATACCCCAAAGAATATGGCCTTATATGGGCCTCAAATTCCCATTGAAACCACCGGAAACACGCAGATTGTGTGAGTCTTGGAGGTTACCTACATGACCTACATGTATTTACATCATTTATCATCATTTTATGTATCGTTCTGGGACCCCGGAAAAATGTACATATAGAACACAGAATTATAGAACGAAACTATTGCAAACTTAATTATAGAACACGCAAATATAGAACACGCAATTATAGAACAGAATTGGTAAAGGTGAGAAATATGGGGAAAACACAATTATGGAACACAACCAGATCCCAACAAGAATTATAGAACGACAAAAACAGTAGGAGCAAGTTGAGTACTTTTTTCCAACCTTCTGAGGAACAGGAACTATGGAACAACAGGATACGGTAAACAACCGTACTTTCGTACTCCTCAACTTTCGTTCTATAATTAATTGTGGCGGTGACCATATATATGTTTATTATCCCTGTGTGCATTCTGCAGAGAAGTTGTGCCCACTAAACCGTTTACAAACACAGCCTTATACTACAAAATGATGCTTGAATCTGAACCAACCCACCTTGCTACAAAATGGTTTGGGGGTTTTTATGATGGATCAAAAGCCAATGTCGGTCACTACAAAATGACTTTAAGTAACCATTTTGTAGTGAAAACGGGTTGCCATGAAAAATCATGATTCGCTACTAAATGGGTCATAGCATTTACTAGGGGAAATGCTACTGGGGCCCAGGTCATAGTATTTGCCGAGCACAAGTAAATACAACCTTGGGATTTCCATCGGATTCCAAGAATTGACCTTTCAAAAAAGGTTTGACAAAAGCACGGCGCAGGGGTTTTGAACTGCAATCGTCAGAGCTATGGGGCAGCAAAAACGATCTGAGCGCACAACTTCAGTTTCAATTGATTGGTTTTGAAACCAAATGTGTCCCATTTTTCCTTCTTAAAGTCTCTACATAAAAAAGCATGCTTTTCGAACTTTTTGGGGCTTATCTGGAGGGGGGCGCAGTAGGTTCTACAAAAGGTTGTGCACGCGTGTGTCACTACAAAATGCAGTGCATGACACAAGTCATCCAGAAACTAGGACATCACGCATCGAACCTGTGCTTTTTGACATTGTGGGTGGAAGGAACTCTGAGCATGGATTCGTTGAACTGGGGTGAAACTTGGCTATTGGACAAAAAGAGCAGGAACCTAGTAGAATGGGATAGATTTAGATTTTAATTAGTAATCGCATGTGATGGCCAAAAAAGGTGTGACAAAAGCACGGCGCAGAGGTTTTGAACTGCAATCGTCAGAGCTATGGGGCAGCAAAATTGATCTGAGCGCACAACTTCAAATTCAATTGATGGGTTTTGAAACCAAGTCTGTCCCATTTTTCCGTCTTAAAGTCTCTACATTATTTGTTTTTTTTCGATTTTTTGGGGGCTCATCTTACCACGAAATAATCGTGAGTCAAGAGCCAAAAATGGTCTGAGGGTCCAAGCTATATGTTCATGTGACCGAGCATGACTGGTAAAAGAGGGCTATAGGGCTTCCGGTACGACACAACGCATCCCAAAATAAATCACTACAAAATGCGTTTCCCATTTATGAGTGTAAAATGCAACGCCGCTACAAGATACAGTGCACACCCTTTTACTACAAAAACTGGTGCACGGGTCCTTTTTTTTTGCTTGAATTATCCACGAATCAGAGGATGGTACCAAGCACGTGTTCACCCTTTTAGTAGTGGAAATGGTAAGGGGGATTGTTTATTTATATATGTTTATATACTCTATTTTCAATCTATTTTCTATCGTCAACTACAGTACCTGTTCTTTTCTGGTGCCCGAAATCCATTGTGTAACTGGTGTTTCTTCAAGGAAAAGGTTTTTTTTTTCTGCGGGAAACTCTCAACCCACACATTTTGGTGACCAAAGACCTCCTCCAAAAAGCTTTTGGCCAGCGCCCATTCAGGTGGCGGCTCACCGTTTGTTTGCTTTGCATGGCCCACCTTGAACGCATGATCTGCTGCCTGTCAGGGATGTTCCTTGAATACATGGAGCCTCCACGAACCACATCAAACCAAAAACCTGCAAGGTAAAGCGACCTGACATGTCGACAAAATATGTGAACATCATTGAACATCAAGCCAAAAAAAACATACGCCTGCAACAGCACTACAGGGTGCTTTGGAGCCACTTGCCTCAGCCAGTCTGCCACCTCTTCAATACAGGTTTTCTATGGTTTTCTCTAATTTGTTCATCCATTTCTCATCTTTGAACCCGCTCAAATCTATTGCATCATATCTCAACTTCCACGCATGTAAATTCAGTTAACAAACCTGCTGTTCTACATCTTGCAACTGAGGTTCATGGCTTTGCCTGGCTTTTCTGGTACGGCTGAATATGCAAATTGACCAGAGATGCATGTGAACAAAGATTCCTATCATTGTTTGTGGACATGGTCCACATGCTCATGGGTTTGATTCTCATGCTCATGCAGGTCTGCTTGTACTCTCAAGCAAAATTCTTTGCAGAAGTATAGCCAGTGAGCCTGAAACTCCCAAAAAGCAATCAAAAAGATTTACCAAGTCGCAACTGGTGCATGCGTGTGCATGCTACACATGTGTGTGCATGCTACACATGTGTGTGCATGCTACACAAATTGACATGTTTTGACCTATTGACCCAAATATAAAGACACAAAGACGTAAACTTTATAAACTGGTCGGCTTTGCTGGTGTATGTCATTGCGCTGGCTTTTGCTTCTCTAGTGTCGGAGTCCCGCGTTGCAAGGCGCGACAGGGCGCACAGCGCTTCGGGGTCCGGGTGCAGCTCTATGACGCCCAGCAGCGCCTTCTGAGCTTTTTCCATTCGACCCAAACCTGGCCAAAATATACCAACATCGATAAATTCAAAACGCAAAATTTAAACGCCACATTCATCCGAATTCAAGATATCAATGGCTTTACATGGCTTTACATGGCTGTACATGGCTTTACAACGTGCTCATCAGGAACTTTTTAATGTTCATTCAGTTATTCTTCTCATTTTCTGCTGGTTGTTTACAGGTGTTCACATGAGAAAATCAGATGGCAACCCACGTCCAGTCGAAGAAAACACATCGACTATGCAAGGTGAGGAAACCTCAAAATAGCTTGAAGGCCTTGGGGGCCAAATGAAAGACTGCAAGCTGCGCCTACGAAACAAAAAGCCATAGCAAACCTCAAATGTCGCAATGCCACGACCTGTACCTTGCCCCAAGCTGGGGGAGACAGCAGCTCTCCAGCTGTTCGGGGATATGGTATCAAAGCCCACAGAACCAACGGTCTCGGTGAGTGGTGATTCATTTTTGTTTTCTCAAAAACAAATACAGTACAACCAACACGCACACATATAATTATTTATATATAGCATGTGCTCCAGGGTTCTCTTGCTCTCCTCAAAGACTTCAACATTCTTCATGTAACCAAGAAGTTCATACTTTGATTGTACATAAGCACGCGCATTCACTGGATCTTTGAGTGTCCTTCCCAAATCCGCCGACCCCGGCAGACGCAAGGGGGAGCGCGCCAGGGAATAATACTTTTGGCTCTTGTTTCGGACTACCGCAGCCGCAGCCGCAGCAGCAGCAGCAGCAGTTGTTAGGCACTTTTTTGCTGCGATTTTGCGCAATTTTTGGCACGAAATTGGGTGGTGTTTTTCTGTTTCGAGTGAGTTTCGAACAAGATGTCTGGCTGTTGGTTTCTCGCCTTGGAGGCTGGTTGATGGCACGGCAGGAGCAGCAGCAGCAGCAGCAGCATCAGCGGACGACAGCACCAGCAGCGGCAGCTGCCGCTGCCTCCGTCCTTCACTACTATGGTGTTTCCCTGTCCGGGACCCACGTTTTTGTAGCAGCCAGCAGGCAGCCAGTACTATACAGTACTCTAAGCTTTTCTGGGACATATAGTCTGGGATTCCCTAGGATTCTCTAGGATTTCAGAAGACACGTTAGGCACTTTTTTGTTGCGATTTTGCGCCATTTTTGGCACGAAATTAGGTGGTGTTTTGCTGTTTCGAGTGAGTTTCGAACAAGATGTCTGGCTGTTGGTTTCTCGCCTTGGAGGCTGGTTGATGGCACGGCAGGAGCAGCAGCAGTGCAGGAACAACAAGAGCAGCAGCAGCAGCCAGGAGCAGCAGCAGCGCAGGAACAGCAAGAGCAGCAGCAGCAGCAGCAGCCTCCGTCCTTCACTGCTATGGTGTTTCCCTGTCCGGGACTCACGTTTTTGCAGCAGCCAGCAGGCAGCCAGTACTATATATAGTCTAAGAGTTTCTAGCATGTATAGTCTAGGATTCTCTAGGATTCTCTAGGATTTCAGAAGACACGTTAGGCACTTTTTTGCTGCGATTTTGCGCCATTTTTGGCACGAAATTAGGTGGTGTTTTGCTGTTTCGAGTGAGTTTCGAAAAAGATGTCTGCCTGTTGGTTTCTCGCCTTGGAGGCTGGTTGATGGCACGGCAGGAGCAGCAGCAGCGCAGGAACAGCAAGAGCAGCAGCAGC